CAAGCTCCGCCTCCCGGGTTCAGGCCATTCTCCTGCCTCAGCCTCCCGAGTAGCTGGGACTACAGGCGCCCGCCGCCTCACCCGGCTAGTTTTTTGTATTTTTTAGTAGAGACGGGGTTTCACCGTTTTAGCCAGGATGGTCTCGATCTCCTGACCTTGTGATCCGCCCGTCTCGGCCTCCCAAAATGCTGGGATTACAGGCTTGAGCCACCTGTAATCCCGGCAAGTTTTTTGTATTTTTTGTAGACAGGATTTCGCCATGTTGGCCAGACTGGTCTTGAACTCCTGGCCTCAAGTGATCCACCCACCTCGGCCTCCCAAAGTGCTGGAATTACAGGCATGAGTCACCACGCCCAGCCTGGTGAGGGGCTTCCTTGATGTGTCCTCACATGGTGGAAGGCAGAAGGGCAAGAGAGAACCAACTCCTTCTGTCAAGCCCTCTTACAGGGCACCTAATCCCATTCATGAGGGAGAAGACCTTGTGGCCGGATCACCTCCCAACACCTTCATGTTGGCAACACCTAGACTAGGGTCCTAGTAGTCCCACCCCTGGGGTCGTCAAAGAACAGATCAGAAACTCCCAGGGTGCAGGGGCAGGATCCTTACATCCCCTGTAGGGTAACATATGCATGCACCCCCAAAATCGCATCCAAGGCCCACAGATACAAGGGCTCGCTGAGTTCTGAGGGTCTGGATGGTGAGTCTAGGGAGCATGAGAAATTCATCCAGGCCACACAGGCTTAGGCACCTATACTCCTGCCCATTCCCTGCAGGGTGGATATTACCATTTGAAATACTTTGGCCCTTGTATTGAGTTCTTGCTTAAAAGAAGAAACCCGCCAAATTCTAGAATCGCAGAGGTGGGGGCACCTATGTGACAAATGAGGGAACAGAGGCACAGAGACTGGCAGGGACATGCTCAAAGACATGGAGAGCCTGGGCAGAGGATGGTCCCAGAGTGGGTGGTGCCTGGCCCTGCTTCAGCCTGACATTGTCCAAGGCTCCCCCAACCCACTCCTAAAATGGCCAGGCTCCACTTCTTCTCAGGTGGGCCACATTTTCTGCTGTCCTGGTCCCACTTCCTTTCCTTTTCTCCTTAAATCTGATTTCACTGTGAGGGTGGGAGGTTGAGCAGAGGGGTGAAAACTCCCTTGCCTTTACTTGGTAAGCACATACAATCTTTTTTGTTGTTGTTGATTAAAACAAATAACATACTTGGTTGATCCTGCCAGCAGAAAAAAAAAAAAAAAACAAAAACCAAACCCGTTCCCCTTGAGGGCAGCCCTGATCCTCGGGAGATCTGCATGTCAAAGGGAGCCTGGGGAGAGCTCCCCACCTCAACCCGTCATCGCACAGGCAGGACACCAAGGTCCAGAGAGGACAAGGAGCATGCCTCTTTGCTCTTCTCTGTTCAAGTCAGGCCCGTGGCAGCCGCAGGGTCTCTGCCAGGGAGGACTTCAGGCACATCGATGGTTGGAAGGAGGGGCAGGGCGAGGTCTTCAAGCTGCATTTCCATAACCAGCTTATTGTTTGTGCTTCAAGTGCATTGTTTGTTAGGGGTGGCTTAGGGGGCTGATGGAGATGGGGGTATACATTTCCCCATTCCTAGCCAGCCCTTGGGGAGAACCACTGTGGATCCTCCTCTGACCTATCCTCCCCACCTCCCACAGCAAGTGCAGCCGCGGAGCCCTGTACACAGGCTTTTCCATCCTGGTGACTCTGCTTCTGGCTGGCCAGGCCACCACTGCCTACTTCCTGTACCAGCAGCAGGGTCGGCTGGACAAACTGACAGTCACCACCCAGAACCTGCAGCTGGAGAACCTGCGCATGAAGCTTCCCAAGCGTGCGTGCACCCCTACGTCCTGACACCCCCCACCTCCCACTGTTGCTCACCTCAGAGACCCCCATCCCTGCACCCAGCTGGGTCCACTGTCCTCTCCCTCTGGTTTGGAATTCCAGCCCTTCCTCATCTGGGTCTGATACCCTCCTCCCTGGGCACCAGGGCCACACTTCTCCTCATTCCTGTCCCCACAGCTCCCAAGCCTGTGAGCAAGATGCGCATGGCAACCCCGCTGCTGATGCAGGCGCTACCCATGGGAGCCCAGGGGGTAAGGACAGCCCCAGGGTGGTGGGAGGGGCAAGGTTATCCTACCTGGATGGAGGACAGTGCCAAGGGAAGGGGCAGGGAGGAGAGCCCAGCTGGGGAGGGGTCCTGACTGCTGCGGGAGGCACAGTGCCTGTCTCAGGAAGAATAGGGCTCCCAGGTGTGGAGGGCACAGGTGAAGAGTCTCTTGGCGCCATCCTTGGGAGGAAGGCTCAGCCCTCTACAGTTTACAAAGTGCTTCTCATTTCCTATAGCATCTTACTGTCCTCTCCCATTCTCAAAGACCTTGCTATCATGCATTGACAGTATTTATATTCACAATACTGTGCTGTGGACAAAACCCTAGGCAGGAAAGCCTATGCCAGTTTGACCAATGAGGACACTGAGGCAGAAAGCTAAAGTGAGTTGCTAGAGCTCTCATGTTTGGAGGTGGCAGAGATGGAACCATTGACCAAGTGCCTGGGATTCCAGTCTCTTACCTAGATCCCAGCAACTGGCTCCTGCTTCACACCCTCTGCTCCAGGGACCAGCGCTGGTAACTTTCTGTTCCTTCCTCCCACAGCCCATGCAGAATGCCACCAAGTATGGCAACATGACGGAGGACCATGTGATGCACCTGCTCCAGGTGAGTGCAGGGAGCTAGCTGGGTGGCCCTGCCTGCCCACCCAGGACCCTGGCCAGGTCGAGCTCCAAGGCCTGTATACCTGGCTCATGGCAGATTTTCAACATGTACTCTCTGGATTACTGAATACAAGGGTGACCCTTAAATGTTATATGTAGTCCGGCCCCTCCGCATTTTTGAGATAAACAGGCTTGGCTGGGCGCAGTGGCTCATAACTGTAATCCCAGCACTTTGGGAGGCCGAGGCGGGTGGATCACCTGAGGTCAGGAGTTCGAGACCAGCCTGGCCAACATAGTGAAAGTCTATACTAAAAATACAAAAATTAGCCGGGCGTGGTGGCAGGCACCTGTAATCCCAGTTACTTGTAATCCCAGCTACTCAGGAGGTTAAGGCAGGAGAATCACTTTAATCCGGGAAGTGCAGTGAGTCGAGATCATCACACCATTGCACTCTAGTCTGGGTGACAGAGTGAGACTCCATCTCAAAAAAATAAAAATAAAAATAAAAAAGGAAACTGAGGCTCAAAGCTTGGAAGTGACTTGCTCAAGATACCCGTAGTTTTGGTTTTTCCTCCCCAAATTTGTATTGCATGTCTATTCTGTGCCAGCATTGTGCAAGGCTCTGGGCCCACAATGGGGAGCAATTGGACCCAGCTCCTGAAGCCATGGGGATCCCAGGCTAGTGTGGGAGACAGACAAGTGACCAGGTGATGACAGAAGTGCAGGGGGCTTTGTGAAGAAAGAGGCAGAGGACTCGGCCTAGCTGGGGGCAGTCAAGGTTGGGTCCTCACCTTCTGAAGCAGGTGAGACCTGAAAGCTGAGCAGCCATCCACAGGGAGGACACTGGGGCTTGTTGGTAGAGCTTGCCTGGAGTCTGGAACTGGACTCGCAACCCTGCAGTCTTGTAGCTGAACAGCTGGATTGCCCTTACCCCTTCCCTCCCCTCCCATCATGGCTGAAGTCCAGGGTTTAGGCTTGGTGTGGCTCTGGTCCATTCCTCAGAATGGAAGACCAAGGGAACATGGGCTACACATTTCACACTGCCTGCCAGGGAGCCCTTTTTGAACCATCCTTCCTGCTCTGCCACCCTGTAGAATGCTGACCCCCTGAAGGTGTACCCGCCGCTGAAGGGGAACTTCCCGGAGAACCTGAGACACCTTAAGAGCACCATGGAGACGTTGGACTGGAAGGTCAGCAGGTTTCCCTGCTTGGGAACTCTTTCCTCCAATGTCTAGGGCGGGGCTGGGAGAGGTGGGGTGAGGGTGGGCGGGGGAGGCCATTCTCAGGAAGCTGAAGGGGTTTCCCAGCACTTCCAAAACCTGGAGGCTGCAGTGTGTGGGGCTCAGCCCCATGGGCTTTTAAGAGGCTGCCGCTGGACCCGGGTGTCGGGGCCCTATTTGGCCCTGCATGTTTCTGTCCCCAGGGGCAAAGCCAGGCAGTGTAGGGGCTTGGTGGTGGCTATTGAACCTGACCTCCACCTCTATCCCTATTAGGTCTTTGAGAGCTGGATGCACCATTGGCTCTTGTTTGAAATGAGCAAGCACTCCTTGGAGCAAAAGCCCACTGAGGCTCCACCAAAAGGTACAGGGAGTCGGAGCTTTAGGGTGTGAGGGCTTCTCGACCCTCGGGGCTCTCCTGGAGCTGCTGAGGCCGGGGCCTCCAGCACTCCCTGGTCCCAGCGCCGCGGAATCTCCCATCCTCTCAGCTCTCACTTCTCTCTCCTGTCTGTTCCTTCTTGGTTTGGCTGTCCCCCGCCCCCGACTCACCCCCATCTTGTGTAAGGGTTCCTAAGGGCCCACAGAGGCCTGTCACCACAGGGTACAGGTGACCTTTCTCATGGAGGATGGTACAGCACAGGGGGCCTGGGGCAGAACCCGCCCGAAACACCGCAGGAAGGAATCCTTGTAATGACCTTGCCCCAGCGCTGCCCACAACCCAGTGAGGGCGCCAAGGTCACAGCTGCCGCCAAGAGAGCTCTGGGCATTTCCCACCTCATGGACAACGCAGACTAGGATGTTTTTAGCCCCAAAGCCAGACTGCTGTTTCTATCCTGGTGCTGTCTCTAATTTGCTATGTAACTCTGGACAAGTTTTCTTCCCTCTGGGATTCAGGGTCTTGAAGTAGAAGGTCAAAGGGCCACCCTGGCCGGGGCCTCAGTTTCTGCATCAGATTCATAGAAGGCACCTTCCATGCTACCTCCAACAACTCCTAGCTGATGCTTAAACCCCTCTAAGACATCTCCAACACACGGTAACCCCCATTTCTCTGCTTGGGAACTCTCAGCAACAGGAAGCTTAGACTTACCAAGGAGCCCATCGCTTTTCTCTAGAATCAGAATCGAAGTGCAATTCCAAACTATAATGGTCTTTTTTTTTTTTTTTTTTTTAGATGGAGTCTGGCTCTGTCGCCCAGGCTGGAGTGCAGCGGTGCGATCTCAGCTCACTGCAACCTCAGCCTCCTGGGTTCGAGCAATTCTCCTGCCTCAGCCTCCCGAGTAGCTGGGATTACAGGCATGCACCACCACGCCCAGCTAATTTTTGTATTTTTAGTAGAGACGGGGTTTCACCATGTTGGCCAGGCTGGTCTCGAACTCCTGACCTCAAGTGACCTGCCCACCTCGGCCTCCCAAAGTGCTGGGATTATAGGCATGAGCCACTGTGCCCGGCCCAAAACTGTAATGGGCTTTGAGCGTCAGAAGAAACCATCAACTTCTGAGGTGAACTGGACACATGGCCATTCACTTCCTTTTTGCTCTCAGACCTTGTTGGTCTAGGCCTCAGTTTTCCCATCCGTGTGATGGCTGGAGTGAGTAAAGCCACTTGGGAAGAAGGCATTAGGCCCACAGCAGTGGTGTGTGGGTCTCTAGCTCTGCTCAGACCCTGGTTCAGAGCTCACTCACTCACTGTGTCCTCATCATGCCTGTCGCTTCAGTACTGACCAAGTGCCAGGAAGAGGTCAGCCACATCCCTGCTGTCCACCCGGGTTCATTCAGGCCCAAGTGCGACGAGAACGGCAACTATCTGCCGCTCCAGTGCTATGGGAGCACCGGCTATTGCTGGTGTGTCTTCCCCAACGGCACGGAGGTCCCCAACACCAGAAGTCGCGGGCACCAGAACTGCAGTGGTAAGCAGTCGCACTGTGCCAGTGTCAGAGGACCAGGAAGGACTAGGAAGGTTGAGGGGCAAGAGGTCCCCTCTGAAGCTCATGGGACCAGGACACCCGGGATGGCAGTTCCTGGGGGCAGTGACGTAGTCATGCATCCAGCCCCTTATCCATCCACCCATCTGTGTGTTCCTATTTGTCCATTTGTCATCTCTCCTCTTACATCCACTCATCTATTTGTTCACTTATCCGTCAGTCCTTTCATCTGTGAATTTCATCCATCCACGCACCATCCTCTAGCAAGGAGGAGTCCTACAGGCCCACCCATCTCATTTCATCACCCTCTTCTCACTCAAGCCCCCATTATACCTCTTCGTTGCTGCTTGCAGCTGTCCTTCCCTGGACACCTGCTTTCCCAGGCACTAAGCCTGCGGCTAGGTGGGAAGCACTGCCCTCAGGTATCTTGGGTCAGGTAGGCTGCACTTCAAGTGACAAATGGACTTGCTGCTCCTTTGCAGAGTCACTGGAACTGGAGGACCCGTCTTCTGGGCTGGGTGTGACCAAGCAGGATCTGGGCCCAGGTAAAGGCCTTACAGAGGGGCATCTGGTCACCAACAGCTCATCCCCGGCGGGGTCAGCTCCTTTGTGGGCAGGTGAAGGAGTGTGATGCTGGGCCACTCTCCAACATCCCTGGAATGTCCATTTCACAGATGGAGGAACAGGGTTGGGGGGCTGTGGGGAGTTATACAAATCCATGATGGTCATTACTTGGACCCAAGCAGGGGGCAGGGGAGGGTGGGCAGTCCTTAACGGCTCTGCAGGTCCAGGATGTTAGGAAGGGACAGGGACAACAAATGCGTGACCCCAACCTCAACCTGCTGCTTCTTTCTCCAGTCCCCATGTGAGAGCAGCAGAGGCGGTCTTCCACATCCTGCCGGCCCCGCACAGCTACAGCTTTCTTGCTCCCTTCGGCCCCCAGCCCCTCCCCCATCTCCCACCCTGTACCTCATCCCATGAGACCCTGGTGCCTGGTTCTTCGTCACCCTTGGAAACGAAAAACCAAGTCGGAACAGCAGATAACAACACAGCAAGGCCCCGCTGCCCAACTCCATCTGTCAACAGGGGCGTGAGGTCCCAGGAGGTGGCCAAAAGCTAGACGGAACCCCATTCCTGACATCACAGCAGCCTCCAACACAAGGCTCTGAGATCTGGGCTCATGGACAAGGTGGGAAGGCACAGGAAGAAGGGATAACCCTACCCCCAGGCTGACTGTCCCTTCCCCTCTGGCCTTTGGCCTCGGCTTTTCTAGCCTATTTACCCGCAGGCTGAGCCACTCTCTTCCCTTTCCCCAGCATCACTCCCCAAGGAAGAGCCAAGATTTTCCACCCATAATCCTTTTTGCTGACCCCTAGTTCCCTCTGCTCAGCCAAGCTTGTATCAGCTCTCAGGGTCATGGTTAGAATAAAAGGTAGTAAGTAGAACACTCTGGCTCCTGGCTCTTCTGTTGGGATCTAGTTCATTTATCCTGAAGAGGTAACTAAAGATGCTAAATCCAGTCACTTAGGTGGGAGAATGCAGCCCAAGGAACCCAGAGATGCCTGGGGGGCCTGCAGTCTTTGGACACAGACATACTTGATAACATGTTTAACACACACGAACACTCTTTACTTCCAAAAAGAAATAGGCTCTTGCCTAGTTTAAGCACAAGCTCTTCTTGGTACAGCTTTCATTTTCCTATGTCCCCAATTTCATTTCTATACTAAGAACAGTGCGAATGTGATGACAGATGGCAACCGAAACAGGGCCTCCGTGTCAGGATGGACAGGAAGTAGGGGACTGTGGAAGACTGGGCGCCCATGCCCTACCTAAGGGGCTGACTGCTAGTCAGCTCTATCTGGTTGCTGCCAGGAGGGAGCACAGCCCCCATTGCCAGATGTTGTCTTTTTAAGAGGAGCCGGAAATCAAGAACTGCCATGCAATCACCCCGTGTTTAATTTTGAAGTCTTGCTGTGGGTCAAACAAGGCCCAATGAGGACACTACTCTGTAGTTCTGTTCTAGAGCAACATGCTTCAGAGGAGAGGCCAGATGGGGGAGGGTCTGGCCCCAGGCCCCGAGTCAAGGGTGCAACTGGATGCCAACCTGGGTCTCTGACACCTCCAGCCGCGCATTCCTTTCCTGCACTGCCTCTGGCTGTTTCCAGCATGAGGCTAAAAGCTTTGGAGACATCTCCAGGATCCCTGGTGTTCCATAAGGCTCTGGGCCCAGGGAAGTGGGCTTCTGCATTTCCAGCCCGGAGCAGCAGACCACCTCCCTTGCTACCCCTCCCCTCCCTCAGTCCACACCCAAGACATCATCCTGTCTTTCATGTTCATCCACTTCTTGCCCTCACCACCACAGAATCATGGTGAGCTCGATGTGAGGGGCAACTCACTTCTGACTTTCCTAGACCTGCTGTGCCTGCCACAGCTGTTCACCATGCACCTCCAGGGAGCCTGCCCCTAGCTTGAGGCCTAACTCAAGGATTCTCAGCCCCTTCCATTTCTTGTCTTTGGGTATTTGCATGACTTACTCTGGCAACAGGAAATCAACCATGACCATCCTTTAGTTTAGATGCCACCTCATCCAGGAAGCCTTCCCCACCAATTCGGCAGCCAGGCACTTCGCTGCGTCTCTTAAGCTCACCGCCTGACCCACTAACCACAGTCACCCACAGCCTCAACACGCAGGCAAGAAGGAATCCCGAGTGTCGGCAAGACAGTCCCGAGAAATGTGTGCCCCAGATGCACTGGGAGCTTGCACCCTTCCTCCAAGTCTTTTATTTTTTTGAGTTATTAAAAAAAAAAAAAACAGAAAACACAACCAAAAGAACTGATGAGAGGAAGACAAAGCCTCGGGATCAGCCCGAGACCGAGTGGCATGGGATGAGGCACAGGTCAGGCCTAGCTGGATCTGTGGAGCAAGGTGGTGGGAAGTCCCGAAGCCTTTGGGCCTGTGGGGTCTGCGGAAGGAGAGGAGGTCACTTACAAAAATACATATACTGTACACATCTATACGAAGCGTCCTGTATTGGGGGAGTGAGGTGAGGTCATGGGAGCTGGTCCACTTTCTCCTCGGACCAGCCTCCCTGCAGGCTCACTGGCTTGGCCAACACAGGGACCCCTGCAGCTGGCTGTCTTCTTCTGTGGAGCGAGGGAAGGTAACAGTTTAGTTCCAGCCCATGGTGGGCAGAGGTCAGCGGAGGTCAGAGGCATGGGGATGGCCACTGCTTGGCTAGGAAATCCCTAGGGGAAGGAAACACACGCAGACGTCAAATTTCCTGACCCTTTTCCCTGGCAAGGAAAATGAAACCTGGCATCTCCAATGCAGGGGAGAGGCATTAACCACAGCGGACATTTTTTTAGCACTTGGAATGTTCTGGGAACTGGACTGAGTCCTTTAAGTATTTAGCTGAGCTTCACATAAGCCTCACCATCGGCCCAGGAGGCGGGCTCTGCATCACTCCCCTTTACAGGAGGCTGGGTGACCTCAGGGCCAGCACAGCCAGGTGGAGCAGCTAACTGTCACCACCACTTGGCAGGGCCTGTCCTCCATAGGGAAGCATAGATCCATGGTGATAGCTCATCTTGAGCAAACCATCTTCCTTCCCAAAAGGAAATGCCCCCAAGTTACAGGATCACGAGGAAAAGGAACTGGACCCAAGTGAAGGAGAAACCAAACTGGACCCAAGTGTAGGAGAAACCAGGCTCCATCCCAGGGTGCACTCCCTAAAGCATGCACAACGCCTGCACCCAGGGTGCACTCGGTGTCAGCCACTGCCATTACTGTTCTGGATCCTTCTGATGCTGCAGTGCCAGCTCCTGATGTCACCCCACCGGCCCCACGGACCCTTGGCAATAGAACCTCTTTCCCCAGCCTCCTTCCCCTTAGAGCCCACCTATCAGGTCTGCCTGGCTCTCTGGGACAACAGTGGATGCCAGAGCTGTCCTCCCGCCCTGAATGCTCAGGAATGATTGGGAAGCATACCTGTGCCTGGTGCTGGTGCCCGTCACACAGTCTGCTCTGCTGTCTTCTTCTGTGAGGAGGGAAGTACGAGAGGCTCTCAGACCTGCAGCTTTTCCCCACCCACTGCTGCCCCCAACTCCTGAGGACTAGTGAATTCCTCTAGAACAGATACTGGCTCTGCAGGAACCTCCAAGGGCAGAGGCAAACATTCAGCTCTCCTAAATACAGCTGAGGCCCTGCTGGCCAAGGTGAGAACTTCATCTGTGTCTGAGGGGCTGAGGCCCCAGGCCGTAAGGACAGCTGTTGTTCAGGGCTAGCCTGCCAGCTGGGGCACACGCAGCCCAGGCAACGTTTCCTCTCACCTGGAAACCTGCCAGTCTACCTGGTTTCCCTGTGCTGGGCGGGGGGAGTCTCTCCTTCCTTCCTCAACACCCTTCTAGCTCAGGCAGCCCACTTCTGCGGCTTCCACATGCTCAGGGAACATGCGCTGCCAGCCTCTTCCCTGGTGTGTCACAACTTATGACGCCCCCACTGGGCCCTGAAAATGGGAAGGGGGCAGGAACCAGGTCTGGGTGTGTAGGAGGGGGCTTGGGTTTGGGTCCGTTTTCTGGCCTGAGACCCCTCAGGAACTCTCTACCTTTTTCTTCTTTTTCTTCTGGGACGGTGACTCAGAATCTTTGGTTGAGGACTTTTTTGCTTTCTTCTTCTTTTCTTTTTTTTCCTTGTCTTTTTTTCCTAAGGGAAGAAACTCAAGTTCTTGAACAACAGATGGTAATCCTAAGTGCTGGGGTCAATGTTGGGAGGCGCACAGGGCAGGGCTCCCAGTTCTCCCCACACCACCGGGAGCCATCACAACAGGCCGGCAGGGCTGGGCGCAGTGGCTCATGCCTGCAATCCCAGCACTTTGGGAGGCTGAGGCAGGTGGATCGCTCAAGCCCAGGAGTACAAAACCAGCTTGGGCAACATAGTGAGACCTGTCTCTACAAAAAATACAAAAAATTAGCTGGGCATGGTGGTGCACGCCTGTGGTCCCAGCTATTTGGGGGGCTGAGGCAAGAGGATCGCTTGAGCTTGGGAGGCTGAGGCTGCAGTGAGCTGCGTTCCTGACACTGCACTCCAGCCTGGAGTGCAGAGCAGGACCCTGTCTCAAAAATAAAAATAAAACGGGCTGGCAGCTGTGACAACCACCCAGCGGGGCCAGCTCATGATTGCTGTCCCATCCATGGACCACCTGGATGACTACCATTTTTCTTTAGGTCAACTCACTTTTTAAAACTCCCGCAAATTTATTTTAAATGGACACTATCTATCCGTACTGTAAATGGAAATCTAGCACAGTTCTGAGCACCAAGGAGCTGCATATCCTGCTGAGGGTGCCTGACTTTTGTTCTAGAACAAGCTGGCTCTTCGGGCATCACTGGCATCCCACCATCCAGGGTGATGCTCAAGAGTGCTGCCTAGGTTAGACTCTGGCTCCACCTAGTAAAACTCTGTGGCCCTGAACAGGGTCTCTACTTCTGAGCCTCAGTTTTCTACCTGCTGAGCCTCGTTTCTACCTAAATGAGGTCCTGCTGTAAGCTGAGTCTCTAGAGCAGCACTCAGTAAAGGGCCAGTGTTACTACGGAGGGGAAACTGAGGTCTAGAGAGAAGATGGGGTTTGGGATGAGGATTTTGACAGTCTGGTTCCTGGTCCATTCTGCACCCAGGAGCTGGCTGGAGCAGCAGGTTCCTCCAAGATCTGCTGCACTGGGCTGGGGGAAAGAGGACATGACTCCTCGTCCTTCTGGAGCATTCCTGGCAGTGCTGGCCCAAGTGCTCTGGAATCAAGTTCTGGCTTTGCCACAAGCTGCCCCCATTACTCTGGACAAATCACTTCTCAGCCTTTTTTTTTTTTTTTGACAGTCTCGCTCTGTCTTTCAGGCTGGAGTACATATGCGTGATCTTGGCTCACTGCTTGAACCCGGGAGGCAGAGGTTGCAATTCTCCTGCCTCAGCCTCCCATGTAGCTGGGATTACAGGTGCCTATCACCACGTTCAGCTAATTTTTTGTATTTTTAGTAGAGACAGGGTTTCGCCATGTTGGCCAGGCTGGTCTCAGCCTCTCCTTTCTACATGGGAGGAATTAGACCAGGTGCTGGCTGAGAGTCCCTCCCGCCCCTGTGGGGTGCCCAGCAGCCCTCGGGATGGGCCGGGAGAAGAGGTCACTCACTCTTGTCGGATTTCTTCTTCTCCTTCTTGCTCTTTGGGTTGCTTTGATCTCCACCTTCAACCTTCCCTATCCCCTTCTGAAGCTCCTTTTCTGGCTCGTCCTTGGCCCCTTGGGAGCCAAGAGACCCCTTCCCTTTTTTCTCCTTGACATCATCACTTGCTTTGTCTCTCTTTGCTTTCCCCTTGGAAGTCGTGGAGGTCTTTTCTGGGGAAACAGAGGCCTCCCCACCTTCCCCGGCCCCTAGTTTCTTCTTCTTCTTGCTCCTGGGG